ATCCTGTTGTCTTTTTTCTTTCCTCCTTTTCCTCTTCTTCCTTAAAAAACAAAACAAAACAAAACGAAACAACAACAACAACAAAAACTGGATCTCACTGTGTAGCCTAGCTGGCCTGAAATTAACTGTGTAGACCAGGCTGACCTGAAACTCACAGAGATCTCATCTCTGCTGTGATCAAAGGTATGTGCCATCAAACTTGGCCTTATCTTTGATTGATTTTAGTTGGATTTGTGTGCTTATCATTAGCTGAAACCTTTTAAGATTTCATTCAAGGTCTTACTTTGCAAACTCAATGCTTATTAGATCTGTTGATAATTTTATTTTGAAAACTTTATTTTGAAATACTATTTTCAAACAAGAGTTAATTATGTGTTTTTGTTTGGGTAAGTGCATGTGAGTACAAGGCCTATGGAAGCCAGAAGAGGCCTCTGATCTGGAGCTGGAGTGGCAGGTGGTTGTGGGCTTCTTGAGGTGGAGCAGAGGACCTGAATTCTGTCCCCAGCACCTCTTTCCAGCAGCTCACAAACCTCTATAAATCTAACTCCAGAGGATCTGAAGCCTTTGGCCTCATCAGATACCTGCAAGTTTGAACCACACACATATAATTAAAAATAGTAAGTCTTTTTTAAAAATTAAAGGCTTACTATAGTCCACAAGCCATTTCATGATCTGATATCTCCTCCTACACTGCTTCCTCTCCTCTCTTTTGGTCATTCAGCCCCAGAATCTTGGGCCTCCTTGCCGTTTTTTGTTTGTTTGTTTGTTTGTTTGAATTTTTTTTTTTTTTAAAGATGGTGTCACTATGTAGCCTGGAACTTTATTTGTATTTTTACTTTTTAAATTTTTTTTTTGGTGTGTGTGTGTGTGTGTGTGTGTCTGTCTGTCTGCCTGTCTGCATGTGTGCCATAGTGTATTTAACGGAGATCAGAGGGCAATTTATGGGTGCTGTTTTTTTTCTTCTACTGAGTAGGTTCTGTGGATTGAGCTGAAGTTGTCAGGATTGATGCCAAGGTTCATACCTGATGAGCTGTCTCTGTAACTCTTCTTTAATTTTCTATTTTTAGCCCAAGGGAGAGGATTGCCACAAATTTGAGGCCAGCATTATCTACACAGCAAATTTCAGGCCAACCTGGGTGACAGTATAAAACCCTGTCTCAAAAAGCCAAAACCCAAACAACAAAAAGCTCCACAACCCAAAAGTCAAAATGTAGCCCTCTCCTCCCCAAACCACAGACCTGTAAGATACACATATGGGTTTTTAAGTTCTGTGAGAGTATGGACTGCATATGGCATGTTTGTCCTTGTATCCTTAGCAGTTCATGTAGTTACTGGTACATAGTAGCTATTTGTGGGGTCTGTAAACAACAGGGCGGGCAGAGTAACCATTTGAGTGAGGCAGGAAGGAATCTGGTTCAACATGACTTAGTTAGCCCGTGTTGGTTCAAACTTTTAGAATCTGACCCTGAGCAGTTTATTTTAGACATACTTAAGCACAGCACAATTTTGGAAAAAAGTTTCTTGATGATAATTAACTCAACTCTGTGTATACAACAGCTTAAGACATGTTGACATGAAAACTCTTTACAAAGTCCATATGGCCTCTTCCAAATGATGAGGTCCATTGACTCAGAAACAAAGCTCAAGATAAGGCTCCAGGGAGAATGACTGAAGTAAACACAATAGCCCGTGGGAGTCAGGAGTGGCCTGGTCCTAAGATAGCACAGAGGTTACCTAGGCTGTTGTAAAGTACAGATGCCATCTCCTGTAAGGAAGGGTTTTATTGACTGAGAAGCAATGCTTCCTCTAGGAGGAAGAGTCTGGGATAAACAAACATAATAGAGAGATGGCTCAGCAGTTAAGAACACTGGTTGCTCTTTCAGGGGTCCTGAGTTTAATTCCCAGCAACCACACTGTGGCTCACAACCATCTGTAATGGAATCTTATGCCCTGTTATGGTGTGCAGACAAACATTCAGACAGAGCACTCATATACATAAGTAAATCTTTTTCTTTTTTTTAAAGACTGGCCCTACAGATAGCAAAGATTACCAAGTGTCTCAGTCAGTGTTCTATTGCTATGAAGTTGCCATGATCACAGCAACTCTTAAAAAAAGCATGTAATTGGGGCTTGTTTACAGTTTCAGAGGTTTAGTCTATTATTATGGTGGGGAGTATGGCAGCATGCACGAAGAGACAGTATTGGAGGAATTGAGAGTTCTACATCTGGATCTGCAGGCAGCAGGAAAAGAGAGACATTAGGCTTGGCAGAGGCTTCTGAAACCGGAAAGCTCACCCCCAGTGGCAACTTCCTCTTGTTAGGCCATACCTCGGAGTCCTTTCAAATAGTGCCACTCCCAGGTGACCAAGCATTCAAATCTGTGAGCCTATGGGGGCCATTCTTATTCAAACCACCACACCAGGTTATTAACTACATCCATAATATCATTCCCAGCCTTCTGAGTGGAAAACAGGTTATACATATCCCTGCCCCCTCCCCTGTTGAGGGAGGAGACAACCCTGTGTGTTTAATATTCCTGGTTTCGCTAGTACATATCTGTGAGCACAGGGACCTCATGTCCTCTGCAGATGTTCAGCATGTTAATTTAAATTCCTTCCTTCCTTTCTCTTTCTTTTTTTTTTTTTTTTTTTTTTGGTTTTTTTTTTTGGTTTTTCGAGACAGGATTTCTCTGTGTAGTTTTGGTGCCTGTCCTGGATCTCGCTCTGTAGACCAGGCTGGCCTCAAACTCACAGAGATCTGCCTGGCTCTGCCTCCCGAGTTCTGGGATTAAAGGCATGTGCCACCACCACCCAGCCAGTTTGAATGATTTTTTTTTTTTTTTTGGTTTTTCGAGACAGGGTTTCTCTGTGTAGCTTTGCGCCTTTCCTGGAACTCACTTGGTAGTCCAGGCTGGCCTCGAACTCACAGAGATCCGCCTGGCTCTGCCTCCCGAGTGCTGGGATTAAAGGCGTGCACCACCACCGCCCGGCCAGTTTGAATGAATTTTAAGAGAGACCATCTTGGATTTATTTTCAGTATAAGTGTATGTATACACCTGTAGTAATCACAAATGATTAGGTGGTCCTTCTAATATGTGCATTTTATAGGGATAGTTCATCATCCATGTAAATACTGACCTAACCCTTGTATAATTTGAATTTTAACTGGTCCATAGGCTCAGGCCTATCTTGTTTAGTTTTTCACAAATCCCAGTGTATCGTCTGTCATGTATAATAAATGCACAGCATACAGAAATATAAAACCCCTCCCCCATTTCACGGTGCTGTTAGAAAAATGAATGGGAGTAGCAGAGTATTTTGCTGTTATGTAGTGAATCAGCCTGATGAGGGTTTAGATTATGCTCCCCGGGGGCTTATAAAAACCATTGTTATTTTAATTAAAATTTTAATTTTAGTTATAAATTCTTTTTTTCTTCTTCCTTATTTCCCCCTTTTTTTATTTTCTTCTCTTTGGTTTTCTTTTCTGGGGCAAGGTCTTGCTTTGTAGCCCAGATATACCAACCTCACACTTACGATTCTCCTTCAACGTTTCAGGAGTACAGGCATATGCTGCCACACTTGGTCTTATAAATGATCTTTTTTGTTTGTTTGTTTGGCTTTTTTGTTTTGTTTTTTTTGAGACAGGGTTTCCCTGTATAGTTTTGGTGCCTGTTCTGGATCTCACTCTGTAGACCAGGCTAGCCTTGAACTCACAGAGATCCGCCTGGCTCTGCCTCCTGAGTGCTGGGATTAAAGGTGTGTGCCACCACCGCTCGGCCTATAAATGATCTTTTAATGGATTATTTGGGTTTGACTCAGTAAATAAAGGTGGTCTGAGCTACTTAAGCATCAAATTATATCTGTAGTAAAACCTTGAGTGTTTTGGTGGTACTGAGACACAAGTTTATAATTCCCTTTATATAGAGCTGGCTTCTGCCTCTGCTTAGACACAGCTGTCCTGATGAGATTGCCTTTGTTCTCTGTGACAAATTTGTTTGTTTGTTTTTTTTGTTTTTGTTTTGTTTTGTTTTTTTCGAGACAGGGTTTCTTCTTTGTGACAAATTTAAAAACAATTCACAAAAAAAACAAAAGAAATAATTTACTTATGTTTTAGTTATGTTTAAGTAATATTTTGGGCTAAATTTGTTGATACTGAATGTTGTATACATTTTCGGTTTTTTTTTTTTTGGTTTTATTTTTGAGACAGGGTCTCTCCATGTAGTCCTGACTGTCCTGGAACTCACGGTATAGACCTGGGTGGCGTGGAGCACACAGGCCCGAGATTAAAGATGTGCATTGCCACCTTCAACCTAGATGTATTGACTTTTAATAACTAAGGTATTTTATGAACAAAACAAATAGGAAAAAAACAAAGGAAAGAAAGAAACAGGTCAGGTGTGATGGCCCTGCACTTGGAAGCAGAGGCAGGTGAATCTCTGTTGTTCAAGGCAAGTCTGACCCATAGAGCAAGTTCAAGGACAGCCATGACTATAGTGAGACCTTGTCTCAAGAACACACAACAAAACAAAGGGAAAAAAAAAGAAAGAGAAGGAGAAGAAGAAGAAGAAGAAGAAGAAGAAGAAGAAGAAGAAGAAGAAGAAGAAGAAGAAAGAAAATAGGTAAGAAAATAATATATATCAGGTGGTGGTAGTGCAGACCTTTAATCCTAGCATTCTGGAGGCAGAGGCAGGTGGATCTCTGTGAGTTTGAGGCCAGCCTGGTTTACAGAGCGAGTTCCAGGACAGCCAGGGCCACATAGAGAAATCCTGTCTTGAAAAAACAAACAACAACAATAAAAAGGAATATATACTTGCAAACACACTAAAAAGGAATATATACTTGCAAACACACTGTTAATATATGCTGTTTTACCACCTCTAACCGTATTAGCATAATAATACATTTATTTGATGTGAGTTAAATTTTTATATCTCTATATGAAATTAGTGTTTTAAGAGAATTCTGGGGACAATGCTACAGTTATTGTTTTGTTGTTTACAGGAAGGGAGGAAATAATAAATTAATAAAGATCTATCATCGGGATGGTAAATACGGCTTTTCTGACCCCCTGACATTTAATTCTGTGGTGGAGCTCATTAACCACTATCACCATGAATCTCTTGCTCAGTACAATCCCAAACTCGATGTGAAGCTGATGTACCCAGTATCCAGATACCAACAGGTATGACCATGGACATTCTCATAGCATTATTTCATATAATTTTATTCTATTTATCAGGCTTAATGGTTAAAAAGAAGTCTAGTTTATATTTATTTTCCCAATTAATCTTGAGTGTGGTGGTGCTTGCCTTTAAGGCAGGTGGATCTCTGAGTTTTAGGCCAACCAGGGCAATGTAAAACCCTATCTCCCCACCACCACCACCCACCCCAAAAAAAAGAAAAGAAAAAGATACATTTTCTAAGTAGCATTTTAGGTATTTTAGCTTAGTTTTTTAAATTTTGTTTTTTGAAATAGGGATTCATGTAGGTGGGCTGGCTTTGAAGTCACTATGTACCTGATGGTGACCTTGAATTTCTGATCTTCCTGCCCCAGTCTCTTGAGTTCTTGGGATTTTAGGTTTTTGCTATCATACCTCGTGTGTGTGTGTGTGTGTGTGTGTGTGTGTGTGTGTGTGTGTGTGTGTGTGAGAGAGAGAGAGAGAGAGAGAGAGAGAGAGAGAGTAGTATAGTTGGATTTTTCTATTTACTTTTTGAGGGACCCGCCACCCAGCTCCCAAATAAATCACACACAGAATCTTATTCTTACTTATGAATGCTTGGCTTATTTCTAGTCAGCTTTTCTTAAATCGTCCTGTCTACCTTTTGCCTCTGGGCTTTTACCTTTCTCTATTCTATATACCTTTCTTTACTTCTTACTCTGTGTCTGGCTGGGTGGCTGGGTGGCTGGGTGGCTGGGTGGCTGGCCCCTGCTGTCCTCCTCTCCTTCTCCTTTTCTCACTCCTCCTCTTCTCTTTTTCTCTTTCTGTTTTTTCTTTCTGCCTGCCAACCCCACCTATCCCTCTCCTGCCTAGCTATTGGCCATTCAGCTCCTTGTTAGACCAATCAGGTGTTTTAGACAGGCAAAATAATACAGCTTCACAGAGTTAAACAAATGCAACATGAAAGAACACATCTTTACATCATTAAACAAATGTTCTACAGCATAAACAGATGTAACAAATTTTAAAATAATATTCTACAGCATCTGTAGTCTCACTTTCTTACATAAAAAGTTACTCATTTGGTGAGACCTTTTCTTTTTAATTTAAAAATTGTGTGTGTGTGTGTGTGTGTGTGTGTGTGTGAGTGTGTGTGTGTGTGTGTGTGTGTGCATGCATGCATGTGCGCATGTGCATGCCTGTGTGCCCTTGTGTGTGTGTGTGTGTGTGCATGCATGTGCGCATGTGCATGCCTGTGCGCCCTTGTGCCTGTGTGCCTATGCCTGCAAAGGCCAGAAGACATGACATCACATCTGGAGCTGGAATTACTGGGAGTTGTAAACTGCTGGAGGTGGGTGCTGGGAATGAACTTGGGCTCTCTGAAAGAGCAGCAAGTGTTCCCAACCACTGAGCCATCTCTCCAATCCCTCCAGTCTTTTTTTTTTTAATTTTGTTATATTTTACTTTATGTTTTTGCCTGCCTGTATGTCTGTGCATTTATATATGTGCATGGTGCTCATTGAGGCCAGAAGAGGGCATTGGATTCCCCTGGAACTGGAGTTACAGATGGTTGTTAGCCACCACGTGGGTGCTGGGAATGAAACCCAAGTTCTCTGGAAGAACACCAGTCAGTGCTCTTAAGCACTGAGCCATTTCTCTAGCCCCATATTTTTTAATTTTTAAAATAAAATATTTTACCTGACTTAAAATCTGATCTTGGTGTCACTAAAAAGTGTTTTGCTTGCCAGGTGGGTGGTGTGTTCCTTTAATCCCAGCATTAGAGAGGCGAGGATTGCTCTAAGTTCCAGGCTAGCCTGGTCTGCATAGTGAGACCCTGTCTCAAGAACCAGAACAGAACAAAATCCTCACGAAATCAAACGAAGTGTTGTTGGTGCTTGGTATTAAAATTTCTGAAGCTGAAATATAATTTGAATGTAAATAGACCTGGAAAAACATGTCAGAATTAATAACATTCCTTCATTTTATTTTTGTTTGCCTGTGTAGGATCAGTTGGTAAAAGAAGATAACATTGATGCAGTAGGTAAAAACCTGCAAGAGTTCCACTCGCAGTATCAGGAGAAGAGTAAAGAGTATGACAGGCTGTATGAAGAGTACACCAAGACGTCTCAGGTGAGACGTCTTGTTTGGGGACGGTCTTCGTGCAGTGTTTCCGTTCGTCACATTCTGAGTAGTTGGCTGCACGGTCTGCTGCCTTCCTTTCTTAACTGCCTTTGGGGATTTTGATGATACAAAAATACTCCCACTCATACCTTTTTTGTTATTGTTGTTAAAGATAGAATTTTCTATCGGCATTAACCAGGGGGTTAGGAATATGACTTAACTTAAACAGAATGCATATTGTTTGCCTATGAGGTTTGATCCTTGCATCACATAAAGCTGGGTGTGGTGGTGCAAGCCTTTGATCCCTGGCACTGGGGAGCTGGAAGCAGGAGGATCAGAAATTCAGGGTCATTCTCAGCTGTATAGCCAGCTGGACAGCTTTGGGAACCTGTCTCCAAAAATTTTTTTAAATTAGGTAATATAAAATAATAGTTGTAAATTATAAAAATAAACAATGACGAATTGTAGAAATAGAAATTAGTTTTTTGTCCATCTGGGCAGTGCAGGGCTGTTTCAGCAGCTTTGCTGTCGTGAGTCTTGGATTTTTCTGTTTTATGCTCTCCTTATTTAACAGGAGCCATCACCACCATATTTCCAGTAAAAGAAAGGAAGACTAGGAAGGAAAGAGGAAGCCCCCCCTCCCAGGGTTTCTCTGTGTTGCTCGGGCTAGCCTGGAACTCACTCTGTAAATCAGGCTGGTCTCAAACTCAGAGGTCCACCTGCCTCTGGGATTAAAGGCATGTGCTGTCTCACCCAGCTAGTTTTATGCTTTTTAAGACAAACTTATTAGATGTGTATGAGTGTTTTGCTTGCTTGTTTGTCTGTACTACGTGCATGCCTGGTGCCTATGGAGGTCAGAAGAGGCCATCAGAACTGGAGTTATGGATGGTTGTGAGCCATCATGTGGGTGCTAGGAATCAAATGTGGGTCTTCTTCAAGAACAGTAAATGCTCTTGACCACTTAGCCATCTCTCCAGCCTAAGTTTTCTGCTTTAAAGTTTTTATTCCTATTTATTTTATGAATATGAAGTTGGTAGTAATGATCCTTCTTTGAATCTTTTTTTTTCCCCCCGAGACAGGGTTTCTTTGTGTAGCCTTGGCTAGTCTAGAACGAACTCTGTAGATCAAGCTGGCCTCAAACTCACAGAGATCCACCTGCCTCTGCCTCCCAAGTGCTGGGATTAAAGGCATGCACCACCACTACCCGCCTTGAATATATACTCTAAGCTAAAAGTTTGTTGATTTTATTGATTTTTTTTCCAGAACAATTTTTGGTTGATTTCTTTTCCTTCTCCCTTCTTGTCTCCTTTTCTCACCCCTCATTCCTTTCTCTCTTCCTTCCTTCTTTATTTGTTTCTGTTTCTTTGAGACTCCATCTTATTTAGCCCAGTGTAGTTGCAGGTGATGCTGAATCCCTGTTCCTTCTGTCTCCACCTCAAGTGCTGCTGGTATCACAGGTGAACCTCCTTTCTGGGTTCTGCTGGTATCACAGGTGAACCTCCTTTCCTTGTTCTGCTGGTATCACAGGTGAACCTCCTTTCCTTGTTCTGCTGGTATCACAGGTGAACCACCTTTCCTGGTTCTGCTGGTATCACAGGGTGATCCACCTTTCCTGGTTCTGCTGGTATCACAGGTGAACCTCCTTTCTTGGTTCTGCTGGTATCACAGGTGAACCTCCTTTCCTGGTTCTGCTGGTATCACAGGTGAACCACCTTTCCTGGTTCTGCTGGTATCACAGGGTGATCCACCTTTCCTGGTTCTGCTGGTATCACAGGTGAACCTCCTTTCCTGGTTCTGCTGGTGTCACAGGGTGATCCACCTTTCCTGGTTCTGCTGGTATCACAGGGTGAACCTCCTTTCCTGGTTCTGCTGGTATCACAGGTAAACCTCCTTTCCTGGTTCTGCTGGTATCACAGGTGAACCTCCTTTCCTGGTTCTGCTGGTATCACAGGTGAACCTCCTTTCCTGGTTCTGCTGGTATCACAGGTGAACCTCCTTTCCTGGTTCTGCTGGTGTCACAGGGTGATCCACCTTTCCTGGTTCTGCTGGTATCACAGGGTGAACCTCCTTTCCTGGTTCTGCTGGTATCACAGGTGAACCTCCTTTCCTGGTTCTGCTGGTATCACAGATGAACCTCCTTTCCTGGTTTTGCTGTTTTTTTTTCTTTTTTCTCTAATCTTCATTGTTTCCTTCCTTCTGCTAGTTCTGCATTTTGTTTGCTTTTTTTTTTCTTTTTTTCCTGGTTCCTTAAGTCATCCAATTAGATTATTGATTTGAAAGCACACTTCTCTTTTAAAAAATAACTTGTTATTAGTATGTATGAGGATCCTGGTGTCACTGCACACTTGTGCAGGTCAGAGGACAACTTTGTGGAGTCCTTGAGAACTTGCATGGTCTGATGGCCCAGGCCTTTTTACCCACTGTCAGTTTGCTTGCTGTTGCTCTGATAAAGAGTATGACCAGAAGCAACCTGGGAAGGAAGAGTTTGTTTACCTTACAGTTGTAGTCCATCCTGAAGGGAAGTCAGAGCAGGAGCTGAAACAGAAACCATGGAGGAGTGCTGCTTTCTGGCTTGCTCCCCAGGGCTTGCTCAGTTTGCTTTCTTTGACAACCCAGGACACCTGCTCAGGGGTGTTAACCACTCACAGTGGACTGGGCCCTTTCATATCAATTATTAATCCAGAAAGTGTCCCACACACTTTCCTACAGGCCAGTATGATGTAGGCATTTTCTCAATGAGGTTTTCTCTTCTGAGATGGCCCTACCTTGGGTCAAGCTACAAAAGTAACCAGCACACCAACTGAACCTTTTCACTACCAGCCCCTCTCTGCGGTTTTTTTAATCATAGGTGTTTACATCTATGGAATTCCCTGAATATTGCTTTTGTAATATCTCATAGGTTTTCTTATGGAGTGCTTAGGTTTCATTCATCTAATTTCACCTGTCATTTATTTTATATTTATTACTGTTGTTATTATATGAGGCGAGGTCTCACTATGTAGCCTTGGAACATTGTGTAGATGAGGGCAGCCTGGAGCTTACAGAAATCTGTCTACAACTGCCTCACAAGCCTTCTGGGATTAAAGGATACACCACTACACCTGGCCTTTGTCATTGATTTTATGAGCCACCAGTTGTTTAGCAGCATGTTATTTAATTTCTGTATACTTGTTACTTTCTAGTTTTTCCTCCTATGATTGATTTCTATTTTCTTTTCTCTGTGAATCAGAGAAGATCCTCTGGATGATTTAAGTCTTTTAAAATTTATTAAAACTTGGGGCTAGAGAACTGGCTCAGCATTTAAGAGCACTTATTCTTGCAAAGGATTTGGCTTTGTTTCCCAACACTCACATGTTGGTTCACAACCATTTGTAACTATAGTGCAGACCCAATGCCTTCCCCTGACCTGAAGGCATTAGGCACAAATGTGGTGCACATACATACAGATATGCAAAACACTCATACACATAAAAATAAATAAATAAATCTAAAAAAAGAAATATAAAATTTATTAAAACTTGTTTTGTGGGGCTGGAGAGATGGCTCAGAGGTTAAGAGCACTGACTGTTCTTCCAGAGGTCCTGAGTTCAACTCCCAGCAACCACATGGTGGCTCACAACCATCTGTAATGAGATCTGGTGCCCTCTTCTGGTCATACATGCTGTATACAAAATAAATAAATCTTAAAAAAAAAAACAAAAAAAAAACAAAAAAAAAAACCCTTGTTTTGTGGCCTGGATATATTTTGAAGAATATTATATTTTTACCTAAGAATTATCTATATTCTACCCTTGCTGTGTGGAGTGTTCTTTATGATGCCTAGTATGTATATAATTGGGTTAATTTATAGTTAAAAAAATCTTTGTAGTATTACATAAACACTACTGTTATGCATCTCTGTCCCTGCTTGTCCCCTACTTTTTTTCAGTCAGGGTCTCACTATAAAGCCCTGGATAGACTGGACTCACTATGTAGACCAGGCTAGCCTCGAACTTACAGAGATCTATGTACCTCTACCTCTCAAGTGCAAGGGTTAAAAAGTTTGTGCCAACATGCCCTGTCCCTTTGTTATATACTGTCCAATATTACATTTTTATGTTTTATGCATTTTCCTTTCAAATCATATAAAATAAGAGGTAGTACTTGGGGTATAGCTCATTGATAGAATGCTTATTTAGCATATATAGTTTCCTGCTTTTGCTCTTTATTAACTGTAAAGCCTCATATTGACCATTTCACCGTACCTATAATGTTGATCATTTTAATGGAGTCAGTCTGTAAAAGTCTTAATAACTTTTTCTCCATTCTACCATCACACACTAGGCTCATCACAGTTAATTCATCTGGAAGTGCTAAAGTAAAAGATGTTGAAACTGGACATTAAGGTCTAGACACCAGGCACACACATGATAAAAATAAATAAATGTCCTCAACCCTTCTGGCTCCTACAGACTTTCTTTCCCCTCTTCTGTGGGGTTCTCCTGGCTCTGTGTAGTGTCTGGCTGTGGATCTCTGCATCTGCTCCCATCAGTTGTGGATGACGCCTCTTTGATGACACCTGGGCTAGGCACTGCTCTATGAGTACAGCAGAACATCCTTAGGAATCATTTCATTGGGGTTTTGGTTTTTTTGACAGTCATGAGTCCCTGGGCTGTCTAGCCTCTGGTTCCTGGCCATCCAGGCATGGGCTTCTCTCATGGCAGGGCTTCACGTTGGGCCAGTCATTGGTTGGCCATTCCCATAAGTTCGGCATCACCATTACCCCAGCACATCTTGCAGGCAGGACAGATTGTAGGTCAAAGGTTCTATGGCTGGGTTGGTGTCCCAGTCCCACTGCTGGAAGCCTTGCCTGGTTATAGAAGATGGCCAGCTCAGGCTCTGTATCCCCCATCCTGGGAGTCTTGTTAGGATCACTCTCAAAGGAGCCAGAGGGGTTGAGGACACCAGAAGAACAAGGCCCACAGAATCAACTAAGCAGGACTCGTAGGGGCTACAGCGACTGAAGCAACAATCACGGACCTGTATAGATCTGAGCTAGGTCCTCGGTTTTGGTTGTGTAGCTTCATGTTCTTGTGGAACTCCTAACAGTGGGAGTGGGGGTGTGTCTGTCTTTGACTCTTCTGTCTGCTCTTGGGACCCTTTTCCCTTCTCCTGAGTTGTCTTGTCCAGCCTTGATAGAAAGGTTTGTACCTAGTCTCATCGTAACTTGTTATGCCATGGTTTTTGTTTTTGTTTTTGTTTTTCGAGACAGGGTTTCTCTGTGTAGCTTTGCGCCTGTCCTGGAACTCACTTGGTAGCCCAGGCTGGCCTCGAACTCACAGAGATCCTCCTGGCTCTGCCTCCCGAGTGCTGGGATTAAAGGCGTGCGCCACCACCGCCCGGCTGTTATGCCATGTTTGTTGATATTATGCTCTTTTTTTTTTTTTTTTTTTTGGAAGGGAAATGGAGGCGTGGATAGAGGGAGGCTGGGAGGATTTTAAAAATTGAATTTAAACACACATTAAATACACACATGCATTTAGGCATACAACAGATGTAGCACAAATATCAAATAGCAAAAAAAAGTTATTAATTTTTTTTTTGAGACAGAGTTTCTCTATGTGATCCTAGCTATCCTGGAACTTGCTTTGTAGACCAGGCTGGCCTTGAACTTGCAGAGATCTGCCTGCCTCTGCCTCCCGAGTGCTGGGAGCAAAGGTGTGTGCCACCACTGCCTACTCAAAATGATTCTTAATAATTAAAAAGATAAAAAGGGAATCAGTTTTCACACAAGAATATGGACCAACACAACATTTTGGTATTAGAATTCTATACTTTTTCAGCATAAATCTGGTCTTCTACTTCAAGAAAGTCTTACCTGTAGGCTTTACCACATTGATTCAAAATACTCACATCTTCCTCCTTACTCAGGCAAGGCCTTAGTGTTGTAGTAGACTCCTTTATAGCTTGTAACCAATCAAATAAGTCCTGTTTACTGTGTCTTCAGTATATATGCAGAACCTTATCCAAAGCTACTTTCCTGTCTGGTGTGATAATTTTTGTGTTGCTGTGACAAAATACTTGAAGGCTGTTTATGAAGGTGCACACCTTTAATCCCAGCACTGGAGAGGCTGAGACAGGCAGATCTCTGCGAAGTTGAGGCCACCCTGGTCTGCAGAGCCAGTTCTGGACCATTTCAGGCTACGTAGTTAGACACAACATGTAACATTCAACAACAAAATACTTGAGAGAGTCAGCCTCGAAAGGAGAAAGGTTTGCTTTGGATCGCAGTTTTAGCTGTTTGAGTGCAGTATCAGGAGAGGGAAGGCCTGGGGTTCTGCTAGATCCTTCAAAGGTGTGCTGCCAGTGATCTGACTTCCTAAAGGTTCCACCTCCTACCCCAGTAGTGCCTTCTAGGAAGTGGTCCATAAAGCCTTTAACACATGCACCTTGGGGGGAACATTCCAGATTCAAGCTATACCATCTGCATCTACTGCAGCAGCCTCCTAACATATTCTTGCCCCATTCGCCACTTCTCATCTCCTAAATCAAGTTTCAGCTTATCAGCCAGGGTGATAATTGTCCAACATAGGTTAAGTTACACTCTTGTGCTTATGTTTCAGTGCGTGTGTGGCGGACAGAGGTCAATCTCAGGTGATGTTCATCTGGCACTGTCCACTTTGTTTCTTGGGATAGGGTCTGTCACTGGCCTGAAGTTTGTCCAGTAGACTAGGCTGGCTGGCAAGTGAGCCCCAGGGGTCCATTTGTCTCTACTTCTCCAACATGGAGATCATAAGCACATCACAGTGCCTGTCTTTTAATGTGGATTCTGGGGCCAGATTCAGGTCCTTAGCCTGTGTGCAAGTGCTTTGCTGACTGAGTTGTTGCCACAGGCTTACTCCTTTGTTTACAAGGAGTTTTTAAAAAACAAACAAACAAAAAAATCCAACATAATCCCCAAACCCTCTGTTAGTCAGGGTTCTCTAAAGATATTTAAAAAAAGAAAAAAGTCTGAACTCGTTCTATACTTGAGGTAAGCCTGAATACCTCAACCTGCTGCCTCCACTCTTGAATGCTAGGATTGTAAATATGTGCCACCATGCCTGGCTCTGACCTTAATTCATTAATAACGTTTTGTTTTGTTTTTTTGAGACAGGGTTTCTCTGTGTAGCCCTGTCTTATCCTAGAACTCTCTTCAGACCAGGCTGGCCTCGAACTCACAGAGATCCATTTGCCTCTGCCTCCCAAGTGCTGGGTCTAAAGGTGTGTGCCACCACTGCTCAGCTTTGTTTACTGTGTGTAGGTGTCAGAGGACAGCCTTCAGTGGTTGGTTCTCTTCCTTCCCCCGTGGGTGCTCAGGCTTGGTATCTGTCAGATGGTTTTTCTCCCTGGCCATCCTCTTGACCTGGACATTATTCCTTAGAACTAGTCACTGTTCTCCCCTGGTTCACTGTTCTTAAATATAATACACCCGATTTCCACCTTACAGTGTTTGCATCGACTGACTACTTCAAAAACTGTAAAACCTGGCTAACCCCCTTACTTCCTTCAAGTCTTCCTATATGTCATCATCTCAGTAAGGCCTACCCTGGCATCTTTATTTAATAAATTTAATTTATTGATGAGGCATAATGACAAATGCTTATAATCCCAGCACTTAGAAGATAGACAGATCAGGTATTCTAAGTCATCCATAGCTACATATAATGACTTCAAGGCCAGTCTGAGCTACATGAGACCATCTCTCAAAACAAAACAAAAAATAAAATGGTTACATGTTACTGGGTATATACTTATCATCCCAACAATAGGCAATAAGGCAGGAGGACTTCAGATTAGAGGCCAGCCTGGGCAACAGTGAAATCTATCTAAAAACACACACACACACACACACACACACACACACACACACACACACACACAAAACAACAAAAACCCCAAAACAACAATAACAACAACAACAAAAGAAAAACCCCAAAAAGCCAACCAAACAAAACCAAACAGCAACAACAAAATTAATTAAAGGCAAGAGAAATGGCTGAGTGGGTAAAGGTACTTGCAACAATAGCTTGGAGACCCGAGTTTGAATCCTGGCCCCCATGGAAAAGTGGAAGGAAAGAACCACTTTCACTACACTGTCCTCTGATCGCTACATGCATGGCATGGCATGCAACCTGCCTCCCCATAATAATAATAATTAAAAAAAATTAGTTAACTTCATTTGGTTGCTTCTACCTTGACATGAAGCCAAACCTAACTAAAGTTCAAAAGTTGTCCTCTGAGTCCTGGGTGACAGGCTTCAGTTTCTCAAGTTCTCTTTATTACCATCAGGTAGGACTTGTGGTATAGTATGTTCTTAGTGACCATCGATTGAAGTTAGTAAATATGAGGTAGTTGAAAAACTATCCTACCAGTGTGAGAATTTCTAGAATTATAAATACCCAGTATAGCAGTCTTTCTGGAATTTTGTGCACAATCATTACTTGTCTTAGAAGTACATTGAGCCAGAGTTAGGCCCTTTCTGAAGATTTTAGGGCTATCCTGACTCAGATGTTAACCTCTTGTATCTTGGGATGGTGAGATGGCTTAGCACGTAAAGGTTCCTGATGACCTGAGTTCAGTCCCCAGGACCCACATGGTGGAAGGAGAAAATAGTGACTTCTACATTCGAGCACCTTGCTGTGCACATGGGCATACATACACAAAATGAAATAAATATAATAAAATACAAAATTATTTTTTAAAACCTTGCTATCCTCAAAGGTCATCAGAATGTATGAGAGACTAAATGGCTTAGTCTAACTGGGATTTTGGAGTTAGTAAGTCTGTTTTGTAGAATTTTTGTTTTTTTGTTTTTTTTGTTTTTTTTTTTTTAGGTTTTTCGAGACAGGGTTTCTCTGTGTAGTTTTGCGCCTTTCCTGGAACTCACTCTGTAGCCCAGGCTGGCCTCGAACTCGCAGAGATCCGCCTGCCTCTGCCTCCCAAGTACTGGGATTAAAGGCGTGTGCCACCACCGCCCGGCTGTGTTTTGTAGAATTTTTAGTTTTTCATTTTAGTACATCTGACTTTAGCAGATATTCTTTCTCTGCTTTTTTTCTTCTAATCAGATTACTGATGAATCTGGAAAATTCAGTATGCAGTGTAGTGATGAAAGTGATAATAAATAGATTCTACATGGCTCTTCTGGAAATAAGACTTTGAATTTTGATATATGAACTCCTTATCTGGCCAGTCACTCTTTCACTTAACTTTTAGGGATTAGTACTGTAATAATAGGTGCACAGTAAATGACCCTTGTAATCAATGATGTTCAAGGTTAGTCTCTTGGCAACTCATTCATAGGCCTTTCTGTGGTTCTTAGCCATATCTTAGGTAATGTTTCTTTTTATTTATTTTATAATCTGAAGTGTTTTATATGTAAGTACTAGAGAAGGGTTGAGTAAAAGTTTTTGCCCTGCTATAGGGTCTTATAATTCTTTTTGTTTGTTTGAGATAGCATATGATACAATCCAGACTGGCCTTGAACTCCCTGTGTAGCCATTTATGACCTTTAACTTCTGGTCCTTGGGTCTCTACCTTCTGAGTGCTGAGATTACATGTGCTATCATGCTTGGTACTGGGAATCAAACCCAGCACTTTGTGTATGCTAGACAAGCCCACTAACAATTGAGATACATCTCCAGTTCCTCCACCACTTCCACCAGTGCTGGGGACTGAATCAGGGACCTTTCATATGCTAGACTGTACTCAACTACTGAGCCACAATTCACGTAATTGGTCTGATAAGAGATTATAATAAAAATTATAAAATTTCTTTCAAGATCAAGATTATAAAAATATGATAAAGTGTTTGTGTGTGTTTTGAAATGGAGTCTCATTTAGCTAAAGTTGGCCTTAAACTTGCCCTGAAATGAGGCTGTCCTTGAACTCCTGATCCTCCTACTTGTTGCCTCCTGAGTACTGAGATTATAGTCAGGAATCACCCTGCCTAGTTATAAAGTGTATATTGTTTCTTTTCCTCCTGTAGGAAATACAGATGAAGAGGACTGCAATTGAAGCCTTTAATGAAACTATTAAAATATTTGAGGAGCAGTGTCATACCCAAGAACAACACAGTAAAGAATATATTGAGCGGTTTCGCAGAGAGGGGAATGAAAAGGAGATTGAACGGTGAGTATACTTAATACCTCCAAGTGAGTAATGAAATAAGACTTTTTTTCTTTATTAGTAATTTCTATCTTGTTTGTTTATACCCCCTCAAGTTGCACAGCTATGTTATATGGAACTGCTGGCTGTTCACAGTAATGAATGGTACCAAATGGCATCTTTCTTTTTTATGTGTTTTCTCTTATCTGTGTAAATTCTTAATTCTTATCCATCCTGTAGGACTTAGGTTAGACATAACCTTTTCCAGAAAAGCCTTCCTCAATATCTCAGTCCATTTAGGGGTGTTGTATAAGCCTTCATACAGTGTCTGGTCCTGATCCCAGTGCAGCATATTTCCATTCAAGTGCAAACTCATTAAGAATAGACATGGTGGTTTTTTTCCCCCCCTAATATAGCCCAGCACCCATGTCTGTCATAGTCATGTTCTTATGGTACTAGCTGGGAATAGTGACACAGGTCTATAATCTCAGCTGTTCCAGAGGCTGAGGTAAGTGCATTTCTTGAACCCAGGAATTTAAGACCAGCCTTGTAGCATAGTGAGACCCTGTCTCAAACAAACAAACCCAACAAGATATTAGGACCCTGTTTATGCTTCTTGACCCTTTTGCTTCTGTTGTTATTTTAGCCTTAATATGTCATATTTTCACAGAATTATGATGAATTATGATAAGTTGAAATCACGTCTTGGTGAGATTCATGATAGCAAAGTGCGTCTAGAGCAGGACTTGAAGAAACAAGCTTTGGACAACCGGGAAATAGATAAAAAAATGAATAGCATCAAACCTGACCTGATCCAGCTGCGTAAGATCCGGGATCAGCACCTTGTGTGAGTAGTCTGGGGCTGGATGCTGAGGGACACACCAGCACCAGTTTATTACTGGAACTAGAAATGACATCAGGGGGAGAAGAGTTTGAAAACTAGAAGGCAGTATGTAAGAATTTAGGAATGTGGTCCTGTAGTAGTAGGAGGTCCCAGAATGGCATAAATCAAGTCAGCATGTACTCTACTTTATGCAAATACTTGGGAATACTCAGATGAAACTAACGAAGTGTTGTAGAGTAAAAAGTATATATTGGGGCTGGGGAAATGGTTTAGTGGTTCAGAGTACATGCTGTTCTTCCAGAGGATCTGGGTTTGGTTCCCAGTACACACATGGTGACTCACAACCTTCTGTAACTCCAGTTCTAAGGGATCTGATGCTCTCTTCTAAACTCTGTGGGTATTAGGTACATACATGATGGATGCACAGACATGCATGCAGGCAAAACAGTTCTAAAATGATTCTAAAAAAAATTAAAAGTATATGTTAATATTTCCTTAAAGCGTAAAAATTAGAAACTGTAGTTTTATGGTAGAATCACAGAAGTAGAATTATTCCTTCAAGGTAAATTCTATAAACAAATAAACAAACAAATAAATAATTAGAATAGGTAGTTCTTTATAAAGGATTTTTTTTTTTTTTTTTTTTGGTTTTTCGAGACAGGGTTTCTCTGTGTAGCTTTGCGCCTTTCCTGGAACTCACTTGGTAGCCCAGGCTGGCCTCGAACTCACAGAGATCCGCCTGGCTCTGCCTCCCGAGTGATGGGATTAAACCCGTGCGCCACCACCGCCCGGCTCTTTATAAAGGATTTTTATGCTTAAGAAATGACTTTGGTGTGTGGTGACACATGTCTGTGACCTCAGTACTCAGGAGGTAAAAAGCAGTAGGACCCAGGAGTTCAAGGCCAGCCTCAGCTACATAGCAAGTTTTAGGCCAGCCCAGGCTACATGAGACCTGTTTTTTTTTTTTTAAAAAAAGGAAGGAAGGAAGGAAGGAAGGAAGGAAGGAAGGAAGGAAGGAAGGAAGGAAGAAAGAAAGAAAGAAAGAAAGAAAAGAAATGTGGTGCTGGCAAGATGACTCAGTGGGGAAAGGCCACCAAGCCTGACAACCTGATTTCAGTCAGCGCCTGGGACCCACATGGTAGAAAGACAGAACAAACTCCTGTAAATTGTTCTCTGACCTCCATTCAGGGCCATGCCTCCTCTCCCTGATGTAAAAAAGTGCATCTCTATAAAAATGAAATTTGTGTTTATTAAGAAAAGTGGTGGCTGGAGAGATGGCTCAGAGGTTAAGAGCACTGTTTGCTCTTCCAAAGGTCCTGAGTTCAATTCCCAGCAACCACATGGTGGCTCACAACCATCTATATGCCTTCTTCTGGCGAGTAGGCATACATGCAGACAGAACACTGTATACATAATAAATACAAAAATCTCAAAAAAAAGTATGCATAGTAGGCACTTCAGATCCTTTGAGTAGTGAAAACCAATGCTTTTTAACATTTTTCTTTATTTTTATTTTATGAGTATTTTGCACCACCACCACCCAGCCCGTAGTGCACATCTTTAACCCCAGCATTCAGAAGGCAGAGGCAGGTAGATCTTTGTGTGTTTGAGACCAGCCAGGGCTACATAGTGAGACCCTGTCTCAAAACGAAAAGCAACCAAAAACCCCCATCACTTTGGAAACTAAGGAACACAAGGTTCTTTTTCCTTAACTCTTGATTGCTATCATTAGCTACTTCTTTGGTTCTTAGTCATTGATTTTTTAAAGTATTTTAAGTTAGCATATAAATAGAAAACTCAAAAGTATCTTTCCCAGAAATATTCTAGTTGACTGTCCACAGACTTTGCATCTTAAAACTTTATTGTTGTCCTCCCTTCAGGTGCCTTGTGTGCAGCAGCACCCTTTTGTGTTACCCCACATTCCTGCAGGAAGCCTACTGTTTATTTGCCCTTCTTGAGCTCTTTCCAGCTTCGTCCTCTTCTTCGTCTTAGACCTTAGATCAGACAGTCAATTGGAACTTTACAATGGATGTTATATATATTTGCCCTGTCTTGCTAAGTGAGGCAAGGGCAAGGAAATGATATACTATTATCATTCCTATATATCTTTTTTTAAAGATTTATTTATTTTTTATGTATACAGCATGTATGACCAGAAGAGGGCACCAGACCTCATTACAGATGGTTGTGAGCCACCATGTGGTTGCTGGGAATTGAACTCAGGACCTCTGGAAGAGCAGTCAGTGCTCTTAACCTCTAAGCCATCTCTCCAGCCCCCTTCCTATATATCTTAAGGTGAGTTTTTATGTGAGAAGGCAGGCAGCTTTGTTAGTGGAACATGGACCAAAACTGTTTCTTCTTTTGTTTCCTAGCTTTTCAGAGGTAGCCTAACTTTCTTCCTAGAAGGAACACCTCCATTTAAGGAGGTTGGGTGTTCAAAGTAAATGGGGGCATTTGAGGAGATGGCTTAGGGAAGGAGAGCTTGTATAACCGTGAGGACCTGAGTTTCAGTCTCCAGCACCCACACAAAAGGTAGATATGGCCACACATCAATAAAGACAGTCCTGGGAGGCAGAGACAGGTGGATCCTGGGAGTATGCTACATAACCAGTCTTAATGAAAGGGTGAGCTTTCGTTTCAGTGAGGGACCCTGTCTTAAGGGACTAGAGGAAGACATCTGTTATCCTATCTAGCTTCTATGCTTGCTTGTGTACCCATTCACGCACATACCACACACACTCCCACAAAACCAATTACCCACCCCCACACACCCATACAGATTCACCCACTCACACATACACCTACTCATGCACATACCACCACCACCACCACCAGAGAGACAGCGAGAAAGGAGGAAAATGGGGACTCAGGAGAAAGTGTGATGTGATTTACTAAATTTAAGTCTCTTACTCAGTGTGATTATCTCTTAATAAAGAGATTGTTTCCTTTAAGCAAAGAAAATGTTGGTGCTAAGGATGTTAGAGAAATGTATGTGGATGTTTGGCTGAAGGATGTGCTGGTGCAGTGGGGTGGGATAGGATGGTTAAGGGATAAAATGAGTAAGCCAGCTCCACTAAGTGTCAAAAATGAAATCCAAGTTAATGAAGGGCAAGTCTTTCTGAGAAAGTCTTCAGAAATACGCCTTTTAGATCTTTAAACACTTAGCTGTGATACAGGTTATATAAATACTTGGAGTCAGTGACAGATACTAAGGTGATCCTAGATTGTGAAGATTTTCTTAAAAACATCCCATCAGTAAATATTTACTGAATATTGATTATCTCTGTGCTTATACTGTTTAAGAAATTGGCAGTAGGGAGCTGGAGAGATGGCTCAGAGGTTAAGAGCACTATCTGCTCTTCCAGAGGTCCTGAGTTCAATTCCCAGCACCCACATGGTGGCTCACAACCATTTATAATGAGATCTGGTGTCCTCTTCTGGCATACAGGCAGAACACTGTATACATAATAAATAAATATTAAAAAAGTATTTTTAAAAATGACAGTATAACCATAAGCAGAAAAGAAATCTCTCTAAAACAACGTAAGTTTTGTGGGGAAGATAAGCATAAACATTAAAAATATAAAATAATTTTGCTGGGTCTCTGAAAATTAATAAAATGGTAAAGAGTAGGCCTTAGTTGGGACAAATTAGGGTAGAGAGCTCTGAGATGATGTTTATGATGATACTGAATGATAAGGAAAGGAGACTTGGTTTGTGATGAACAAGTATATTTTTAAAAATACTTATTTTTATTTTTTTAAATTATATGTATGAGTGCAGGTGGACAGTGTGGAGGCCAGAGGCAGTAGATCCCCTGGAGCTAGGTTATAGGTGTGAGCCACCATACGGATCCTAGGAACTTAACTGGAGTTCTCTGCAAAAGCAATATGCTTTCTTTTTTAATAATTTGTTTTTATTTTATGTACATTGGTGGTTTTGCCTGAATGTATGTCTGTATGAGGTCATTGGATCCCCTAGAACAGGAGTTACAGACAGTTGTGAGCTGCCATATAAGTTCTGGGAATTGAACCTGGGTCCTCTGGAAGAGCAGCCAGTGCTCGTAACCACTGAGCCATCTCTCCAGCCCATAAAAGTGTTTTTTTATATTCCACTTTTATACTCCTGTTTTAGACCATGGGCCTCTACTATGTTTGAATGCAAGTGTGTGTGGGGGGGGTGTGGGGGGTATGGGTGTGGGTGTGGGGGGTGTGCTTCTAGAAAAGAGAAGGAAGAAAATTAGATACATGCCTAATTTCAAGTAGTTTTCTGTGTTTCTTCCTTTTTTCAGGAAAAATCCTATTAATTGAAGGAAAAGTAATAGAGAGATTAATTTAGGGAAAACTCTGGCCATTCTTCTTGAGACTAGGGAAAAATAAGAGGTTCCTGGGCTTTCAAAGTATGGCTGGTTTCAGCATCCTCACTATGTCCAGACAGTCGTGAGATTCTGAGGTGGTGTCTTCCCTCTTGGCAGATGGCTCAATCACAAAGGGGTGAGGCAGAAGCGCCTGAATGCCTGGCTGGGGATCAAGAACGACTATGCTGATGAGTAAGTTCCTCCTTCCAAAGGGCTTTGTTCTCATGTAAGGCTCCTCCCATCATGCATGTGGAAAGTCGGCTCTCAGGGTCACTGGCAGAACAGAGAACTGTGCACCTCTTTTGAAGTGAGTTGCCTGAAGAGTATGGTACACACACTTGAGTGTAGAAACTCTCCCACATGAAACTTGGATGCATATACTGCTATTCAGGTATTTTAGCTTATTGAATGAGTTCTGTAGTTTCTGCACCATAGTAAGTAGTAAAGTTGTTTAAAACTAAACACTCACCTAATTGCAGTTTTACTTTTTTTTGTGTGTGTGTTTTTTCTTTTCATTTTTTTTCTTTCTTTCTTTTTTTTTTTTTTTTTTTGGTTTTTCGAGATAGGGTTTCTCTGTGTAGTTTTGGTGCCTATCCTGGATCTCACTCATCTCACTCTGTAGACCAGGCTGGCCTTGAACTCACAGAGATCTGCCTGCCTCCGCCTCCCAAAAACAAAACAAAACATCTTACTAGCTTTTAGATATAAGAATATAAGATTGCTAGAATAATATTTCAAATATTTAATTTTTAGAAGCTACTTTATCAATGAGGAAGATGAGACCCTGCCGCATTATGATGAGAAAACCTGGTTTGTGGAGGATATCAACCGAGTACAAGCAGAGGACCTGCTTTATGGGAAACCAGACGGTGCATTCTTAATTCGTGAAAGTAGCAAGAAAGGATGTTATGCTTGTTCTGTGGTGTAAGTCTTCTCTGGGTATATTATATGGCCTTTTCCAATCTGCATTAATTAATTACAGTCATCATAAAATTGAGATGGAATTAGATATGGTGATAAGAACTCACAGCTTACTTAGACCATCAGTATTTATCTAATGGTTTTAGGATATAGTGGATTGAGTCCAGTCCTACTGTTTACTTGCTTTGTAACGTAGGGACATGACTTACCTGTCCCTTGTCTAGTCTAATCTGTAAGTGCTACCTACTGATGTTACTAGGATAATGATGACACTGTAAGACAGGGTAGAAAACAAAGAAAGATGACTAAGTGATTGCTCTCAGAGAGCACAAGGCTTAGACAACTATGGATGTTTTCTCTCACACACAGAGTATAAGCATAAATATAAACAACATAAAAGTAAAATAGGGACAGCCAAGGCTACACAGAAAAACCCTGTGCCGAAACAAACAAACAAAAAAGTAGAAGAGGTACTATTTGGGAGAAGGAAGGGGGAAACAGGATAGCCGGGGAATATATGATCAAGATACAATGACACATGTCTCAAAAATCCTACTGGGACCTGGAAGATGGCTCAGTAGGTAAAGGCGCTTGATGACCTAAGTTTAAGACTCACATGGTCCAAGGAGAAGACCAACTCCCTCAAGTTGTCACTGATTTCCACATGTATGCCATGCATACACAATATGTGTACCCCACCATAAAGAAATAAGAGTAGTTTTAAAGTGATTTTAAAAAGTCACATTGAGCCGGGCGGTGGTGGCGCACGCCTTTAATCCCAGCACTCGGGAGGCAGAGCCAGGCGGATCTCTGTGAGTTCGAGGCCAGCCTGGGCTACCAAGTGAGTTCCAGGAAAGGCGCAAAGCTACACAGAGAAACCCTGTCTCGAAAAACCAAAAAAAAAAAAAAAAAAAGTCACATTGAAACCCATTATTTTGTGTGTTAAATTAAAAAAAGGAGGGTCATGTAGAAAGGATGAATGAACGGGATTCACAGTGATGAGATTACAGGTATAAGCTATCACACCTAGCTCCCAGGCTTCATTTCATACAGTACCTATGATAATAGAATCACTGTGAAATAGCTATCATTAGTAGGCCTTGCATGTGTGGAAATGTTCATTCTGGTAAGGGAAAAGGAAAGTTAGAGGTTTAGGGAAGAGGTGTTAGTACTGGACCCTAAAGCATGAATGCTATCTATGAAGAAAATGAGGCAGAACAGAAAAGCACATTATATCACTGTGTTAGTGTCATCTAGGAGTAGGACTACTTAACAGCAGCATCCCATTTTTGTTTGCCTTACTCTACTTAAGTTGTGCCAGTAGAAATGACAGGGGACGGCAGTTCTCACCAGACTTCAAGTCTTATAAGAACAAGAAAAGGAGGGTGGTTGAATGTCTTCTACAGCTGATAAACACTTTCAGCAAAGTGGCTGAATACAAAGTTAACTCACAAAAATCAGTATCTCTCCTATATACAAATGACCAGTGGGCTAAGAAATCAGGGAAAAAACACCTTTCACAATCGTCTCAAATAATGTAAAATATCTTGGGGTAACTCTAACCAAGCAAATGCTGTATGATAGAAACATCATTCAAGTCATTTAAAAAATTGAAGATATCAGAAGATTCCCATGGTTATGGATCAGTAGGATGCATATAGTAAAAATAGCCATCCTGCCAAAAGCAATCTACAGATTCAATGCAGTCTGCATCAAAATTTCAACACAATTATTCACAGATCTTGAAAGCACAATTTTCAGCTTCATATGGAAACAAACAAACAAACAAACAAACCCCCAGGAGAACTAAAAAAATCATGAACAATACAAGAACTGCTAGAAGTATCACCATCCCCAATTTCAAAGTTGTATTCCAGAGCTACAGTAATAAAAATAGCATGGTATTGGCACAAAAACAGACACATTGATCAACAGAATAGAATTGAAGACCCAGACATAATCCACACACATATGAACATTTAATTTTTGATAAAGAAGCCATAAATACACACTAGAATGAAGACAGCATCTTAAACAAATGGTGTTGGTCTAACTGGATGTCTGCATGTAGAAGAATTCAGATAGATACATACTTATCACCCTGTACAAAACTCAACTCCAATTGGATCAAAGACCTCAACATAAAACCGGATACACTGAACCTGATAGAAGAGAAAGTGGGGAATAGCCTTGAACTCACTGGCACAGGAAAAGACTTTCTGAACAGAACATTGTTAACACAGGCACTAAGATCAACAACTAATAAATGTGACCCTATGAAACTGAAAAGCTGCTGCATGGCAAAGGACACCATCATTTAGACAAAACAGCAGTCTATAAAATGGGAAAAGATTTTACCAACTACACATGCAATAGAGGGCTAATATCCAAAATATATAAAGGACTCAAAAAAACTAGCTATCAAGAAAACAAATAACCCAGTTTAAAAATGGGGTACAGATCTAAATAGAAAACTCTCAAAAGAGGAAAATCACATGGCTGGGAAACATTTAAAGAAATGTTCAGCACCCTTAGTCATCAGGGAAATGCAAATCCAAACTACTTTGAGATTTCATCCTATACCTGTCAGAATGGCTAAGGTCAATAACACACGTGACAGTTAATGTGATGAAGAGGTGCAGTAGCGGGAACACTCATCCATTGCTGGTGTTAGTAAACACTTGTATGGCCCCTATGGAAATCATTGTGGCTATTCCTCAAGAAGATGGGAATTGATCTAACCTCAAGATCCAGCCTTATGCCAGGCTGTGGTGGTGGTGCACGCCTTTAGTCCCAGCACTTGAGAGGCAGAGGCAGGTGGTTCTCTGTGAATTCCAAGCCAACCTGGTTTACAGAGTGAGTTCCAGGACAGCCAGGGCTACACAGTGAAACTGTCTCAAAAAAAACAAAAAAGAAAAGAAAAGAAAAAAAGATCCAGCCTTATACCACTTTTGGGCATATACCCAAAGGATGCTAATTCCTAATGCAGAGACACTTGCTCAATTATGTTCATTGCTGCTCTATTCATAATAGCCAGAAATTGGAAACAACCTAGATGTCCCTCAACAGAAGAATGGATAAAGAAATGTGGTACATGTACACAATGGAATATTACTTAGCCATTAAGAAAATGAATTAATCAAATTCAGAGATAAATGGATGGAACTAGAAAAAAATCATCCAGAATGAGCTAATCCAGACCTAGAAAGAGAAATATGGTATGTATTCGCTTATATGTGGATGGTAGCTATTAAGTAAATGATAACCAAGCTACAATCCATAGAACCATGGAGATTAGATAGAGAGTAAGGGACTAGGGGGACAGATATTTCTCATTAGGAAAGTGAAATAGATTAGTTATGGCTGGGTGAGGGGAGGCTGGAATAGGAAGATTAAGTGCAGAGGGGGAAGGAAGAGAGGGGCAAGGGAGGGAATATGGAAAGAGACAGCTAAGTAATATTGAGGAGTAATATACAATAGATACTTCCTAAAATATATACATACACAAGAAGGTGATCTAACTTAAATTGCCAAATAATTAGGGAGACAGAACCCCAACTGGCCATCTCTTGTCACCAAATGAAGCTTCAAGTCACAGGATTGGGTCACATGTAATTGAGTTGTTGGCCAAAGGGACCTGTCTTAGGGTTTCTATTGCTGTGAAGAGACACCATGACCACGGCAACTCTTATAAAGAAAACATTTCATTGAGGGTGGCAGCTTACAGTTTCAGAGATTCAGTCCATTATGATCATGAAGGGGAGCATGGCGGCATACAGGCAGACGTGGTGCTGGAGCTGAGAATCCTACATCTTGACTCAGAGGCAACAAGAAATCAACTGACTGTCACACTGAATGAAGCTTGAGAAAAAGACCTCAAAGCCTGTCTCCACAGTGACACACTTCCTCCAACAAGGCCACACCTCCTAATAGTGCCATTCCCTTTAGGGGCCATTTTCTTTCAAACCACCACAGGATCCCATGGGAATCCTCAAACAACTCAGGCTGTTGCCAAGGCTATAGATTGCTCTCCACAAACTGACAGCAGGGCCCTATTGCTGAAGACAGCGTCTACACAACTCACTGAACATGGAGAAGTCGAGCTGGTGCCTACATACTGCCTTTATGCCTATTATATTAGTATCTTTGGAACTGGAAGTTACTCTGTATGCTGCTAAAAGAAAAACATAGACATTAACCCAGTCACAAACCCTTGGATCAACAATGGGGCGTGCCTGCAAGATATGCTACTACAATGGTGGCATAAAGCTTGTGGGTGTAACCAACCTGTATCTGATTTGACTTAAGGTCTACTCCACGAGATGGAACCCATACCTGACACTGCGTGGGTGACCAAGAACCAGAGAGTAGATAGCTCAAGGACCTAGGGGAAAACCAAACACTACTATTCTTTTAAAAAAAAAAAAAAAAAAAAAAAAAAGGAACAATAAAATGACTTCTAATGACATTCTGCTGTGCTCTGTGGATCTGTGCCTTGCTCATCCATCATCAAAGAATCTTCCTTCTGTAGCAGATGGCAACAAATACAAAGACCCACAGCCAGACATTATTCAGAGAATGAAAGACCTTGGAACACTTAGCCCTAAATGGAATGTTTCCATCAAATCCTTCCTTCCAGGACTCAGGGAAGGGGAGGCATAAAGAGTGTAAGACCCAGAGGGAATGGAGGACTCCAAGAAAACAAGACCCACTAAATCGACATGTTCAAAGTTCATATGAACTCAGAGAAACTGAGGCAGTATGCACAGGGTCTGCAAGGGTCTGCACCAGGTCTTCTTTGAATATATTATGGCTTCTGGTTTAGTGTTTTTATGGGGTTCTTGAATGTGTAAACAAGTAGATCTGTTTCTTGTGCCTTCTCTTGGACTCTTCCTTCTGTTCGTTTGTTTTGTCCAATTCCAATGTGTTAGTTTTTGTTTTATCTTATTATTATCATCCCTTAGAAGCCTGTTTCATGATTTATTTTTATGTGCATTGATGTTCTGTCTGCATGTATGCCTGTGTGAAGGTGTCAGATCTCTTAGAAGTGGAGTTACAGAGGAGGAGGAGGAGTTGTCTCAGGTCTAAAGCAAACCCCATGTAAGCTGCCATGTGGGTGCTGGGAATGGAATCTGGGTCCTCTTAAAGAGGAGCCAGCGCTTTTAACCTCTGAGCCATCTCTCTAGCCCCTAGAAACCTGTTTATTTTCTAATGAGAGACCGAAAGGGAGTGGATCCAGAGGGGAGGAGCAAGGAGGGGAGAGGGAACTGGGAGGGCGAGGGAGGGGAAACTATAATCGGGATATGTTATGTGAGGGGAAAAAAAATCTATTTTCAATAAAAGGGAAAAAAACTTCAGGAAGGTAGCATCAGGCACACAGAAAAAGCATTATGCATCATGACTAAATAGGATTCATTTCAAGAAAGCAAGAATGGTTTAACATAGAAAAATCAATGTTAGAAAAGGAACCAAAAAAATGGCATGGTACACTCAATATATTCACAAAAAGTTTTGCAAAATCCAGCTTTCATTTCTCAAAAAAAAAAAAAAAAAAAAAAACAGAAAAAGAAAAAGAAGAAAAAGAAAAACAAACCAGGGGATAAACTAAGAATAGGGGAGAATTTCTGTTACCAGATAAAAGTATCATACTTAATGATAGAAATTTGAATTTCTTCCTCCAAGAGCAGTACGTCTACTCTGAAAGGCATTGTGATTGAGCCAGGAGTGAGTGGTAGCACATGCTTTTAATCCTTCTCAGCACTCAGCAGCAGAGGCAGGTGGATCTCTGTGAGTTTCAGGCTAGCCTGGTCTATATATAGGGAGTATCAGGCCTTCCAAGTTACATGGTGAGACCCTGTCTTTCAAAAAAGGACATTGTGACTGGAAAGGAAGAAGTAAAATGGGTTTATAGAAATTGCAGGTTCTCTCTCTCTCTCTCTCTCTCCACACACACACATATACATGTACATATATTCATTTATCTATGTATTTATTTTTGGATAGGGTCTCATGTACCCCAGGCAGGCCCTACTGTTGTGTATCTGATTATGACCCTGAACTTCTGATAATCAGGCCTCTACTTCCCAGGTGATGGGTGCCACCATGCCCAGTTCATACAAAAGTATATTTCTGTGTACTAGTAATGAATAATCCAAAAATGAGGTGACATGCCATTTAAAATTATGAAATGCCAAGGAATTAAACAGATTTGCACAAGATGTCTGAGAAGTGTGGTTGAATGAAGTTAAGAGTTTAGTCAGTGAAGACATCTGTATGTTAATATCTAGTAAGTGGTTCTCAACCTTCTTAAAGCTGTGACCTTCTTTTTTTTTTTTTAAAGATTTATTTATTATGTATACAGTGTTCTTCCTGCATGTATGTCTGCAGGTCAGAAGAGGGCACCAGATCTCATTATAGATGGTTGTGAGCCACCATGTGGTTGCTGGGAATTGAACTCAGGACCTCTGGAAGAGCAGTCAGTGCTCTTAACCTCTGAGCCATCTCTCCAGTCCAAAGCTGTGACCTTTAATACAGTTCCTCATGTTGTGGCAACCTCCAACCATAAAATTATTTCATTGCTACTTCATAACTGTAATTTTGCTACTGTTATGAATCATAGTGTAAATATCTGTGTTTTCTAAGGGTCTCAGGCGACCCCTGTAAAAAAGGGTTGTGACTCACAGGTTGAGAAACACTCATCTAGAGGCAGTTTTCCTGTTCTGTTACACTTACCCAGCTCCTTGAAACAAAATAAACTTGATTTTCTTTCCTCAAAAAATATTTCAAATACTAGTACTTCAAAAATCAGGTTGAGAAACACTCATCTAGAGGCAGTTTTCCTGTTCTGTTACACTTACTCAGCTCCCTGAAACAAAATAAACTTGATTTTCTTTCCTCAAAAAATATTTGAAATATTAGTAATTCAAAAATTAATCTACAAAGTTAGCACAATCCTAAGAAAATTCAAAGTTCTAGCTGAATATTTGCAGAAATAAGATTTTTCTGAACTTTCTATGAAATGCAGAGAGATCCAAAATAACTCAGTCTTCAGAAAGGAAGTTGTAGCACTACCACCTTCCTTGATTTCAGAACTCATGATTGTAAGCCAAGGAGGAATTAAAGGATAGACATATGTGTGGAATGACAGGAAGTGTGGGCTGAGAGAGTAGGTCTACATTTATGTTTGTTTGAAGTATCTGAAGTCAAGTCTTTAAGAGGCACAGTTATGTCTGTCTGACAGGATACTTAGGCATGGGATCCTTTGTCTAACGGTTGCTCTGGACTTCCTGTCTACTGGGACCTGCCTTATTAGCATTTTCCCATGGTGTCGTTGCAGTGCGGATGGGGAAGTGAAGCACTGTGTGATCTACAGCACCGCTCGAGGATACGGCTTCGCAGAACCCTACAACCTGTACAGCTCGCTGAAGGAGCTAGTGCTCCATTACCAGCAGACATCCCTGGTTCAGCACAATGACTCCCTCAACGTCAGGCTCGCCTACCCTGTCCATGCACAGATGCCCTCGCTCTGCAGATAAGCAGAGTGGGAAAAGACATGGCTCTCCAGCATTTTTTTCCTATGGTTTTAATTAGACTACGATGAGGGCATTCTTTCTACGTAGACTGCTTGTTTTGCACAAGTGATTCTGTGAATGTGAAATGGAGAGGCCGAGCAGTAGCTGGCCCGGATTTAGGGATAAATGAGGGGCCCAGGGTCTCTGGAGTCAGCTGTGCTGCTGCACTGTTGAAGCTGGAAGCAGATACTGGTTTCATGGGGGGTTTGCTTTGTTGTCAGGCACCTTGAACAGAACAGTTAGACTTGTTGTAGGTGGGAGTGGGGGTTTATTTGGAAGCCTCTGAAGAGTCCATGTCCTCTTGTCTTCCACTCTGAGGATGCAGCAGGTCATGGTTCTGTTGGAGTTGTTTGGCTTTGATAGTCTCTCCCCACAGTAAGAAGCTAACTTTGGTTCTGTGGTAAGATGGGGTTTGGTTTGGGGGGAAAAAAGGCAACCAAAGGAAATAGGGAGGTATGGGATTTCATTTACAGAATCTAAACCAAGGAGGCAAAAGACCCCTTCAGTCGATGTTATTTCAATTTTACAACCATAATTTAGGCTTCAGCGTCTTACCATCTCCTCCCTCTAACGCACTACGTTCGTGAACCAGCAAAGCAACATTGCCAGACAAGGTCTAAGGGGAGAAGGTGACACTTACTAGCTGAATGTACACTTCTGTACCAAAACTTGAAAGTAAGAAAACTAGAAGCTTGAGTTTTAACAAACACTAAAATTGGTCAGTGTGTTTCCTTTTTCCCTGGCCTTGTTTCTGAGATGAAGAATAGAATTGTTTTGTGGGGATAGTGAGCTTTGAGTCATGTTTAAGTTGGTGCTTGTGTGGTGTTTCCTTAGCCTAAAGAATGATGTTTGAAACCTTTGTAACTTAGTTTTATGAGTAAAGAAAAGGTGCAATCCAGTGCTTTTAGGTGGCTTGATATACCAAATAATGATAGAGAACATCATTGTTGTGTGCTTCTCCAAGTGTAAAAAGCCTTGCCAAAACTGTACAAGAATTAATTTGCCTTCATCTCCCCTTCCTTTTCTGGATAGGGTTTAGGGAGCCATAGGTAAAGAACTCAGTGGTCAGAGACGTCAGTAAATCACATGCACATGGGCTCTTGTGTCCAGGGTGAAAGGCCCATCACATTACATGTTCTTCCATAATGTGGTTGAAGCTTTTGCCAAGAGAGGGTATAGAGTGTTGAGTTTAGACTATCTGGGGAAAAAGAATCTACAAGCTTTCCTATTTGCCTTTTTTGTGAGCCTGCCATTAAGGCAGTGTGCAAAGCCTCTCCTCATGCTTCAGTGGCTGTGATTTTAGGCCAGGAATCTTCTGCTCCATGTGGTTTAGGCTTTCCAGCTGAGTGAAGTTCATTAGGTAGAGGGCAGGCATCTATTCCTGGCTTCACACTCATTTAACAAAGAGTCCAGCTGCTTCAGAGCCAGTCCTGGAGCCCTAACAGGCACAGTGTGACTCAGCTACTTGAGCCTAGTGACATGCAGGCAGGCATTCTAGTTGAACAAGATGAGCAGCCCATACCTGGGTCTTGGCTCATAAGATCAAATTTGAGAGCCAAAATAAAGGCGAACATAACTTTCCCTGAGCATTTACTTCAGTGACGTTGTCTAGAATGAATTACAGTAGAGAGATCAAAATTTTTGGAAAAGTGTTTGTCACAGTAAGGATAGGAAGGGGCATGTCATTGCTGTTGACTTTTCCTTGTTCATGCTCCAGTATGGAATGAGAGAAAATTGACCTCCCTCAGCCACTATTCAAGGCTCTGCCTTTTCAAGATTGCCAGCTCGAAATCTTGCTCAGTTTACCAGGTAATGCCAGATTGGCATACCTATGTGACTTTGTACCTGATGGAATTTGCTGAAGCAGTTACATGCTCAAGATTGGGTGCAATCTCCTATCTGGCACCAAAGTTCTAGTAGGCCCTGGATGCTTTTTTTGTTTTGTTTTGTGTTTTGGCTTTTCAAGACAGGGTTTCTCTGTGTAGCTTTGGTGCCTGTCCTGGATCTCTCTCTCTGTAGACCAGGCTGGCCTCAAACTCACAGAGGTCCGCCTGGCTCTGCTTCCCGAGTGCTGGGATTAAAGGCATGTGCTACCACCGCCTGGCACTCTGGATGCTCCCCCCCTTCCAAGTTAAGTCAAAATGGAATATAATATACAACTGTAGTACTGAATAATGTCATTACTTTGTAGGGCAGACACGCAGGATATGCAGGAGACAGAAAGCAGCATCTTAGCATCTACACTTGGGCTGAACTGGGAGAAAGGCTGTTGTTCAGTCCTATATTCCTTCCCTTTAAGTGATCCGCTTTGTGGGATCTAAGACCAGGGATCATTTAGTAAATTGGAAGGTATCTTTCTCTGACCAGTTGCCACAGGATTTACTTGGTCCTGATCTGTGGAAAAGGCGTAAGTACTAGTCTCCTAACAGCTGCCTGGTGTCTGGGGGAGTCAGCATGCTGCTATTGCTCCATGGCTCAGAAGCAGGTCTCGGTCTTCTAAGTCTAGCTTGTTCTATCCCATCATCTGGGCCCTGGGACTGTATTATCTCTTTTGGCATCTTAACTGCAGTTTGACTGAAGCAAAAGGTAAAGAGACAGATTAACTAACCAGAGGGGCAGATCAGCCAGCCCCCAACATTAAAGCAGCTTTTGGTTGGCTAGCTACACTTGTCTTTTATAACTAAACAATGCTGTTTATACCTGGCATTGTTCAAGCATAGGTAGATTGCCTATGTTCTTGTCACAGCTCCATCCACAGATAAAGACATTCTATGCTCCACTCCTCCCTAAGACATAGGATCTCAACATTTACTTCAGACTCCTTGAGCCACTGTGGCGTCTACCGTGTTTCTCATCTTGCTGCAAGGTACCAGCTCCAAGCATTCTCCTGAGCTAAAAAAAAATTGTATCTGAGCAATTTCTGGTTTCTAGGATGATCTCTGTTGCCATTTAGGACCCCAGAATAGATCTCTGAGATTTCCATGGCATCATAACCCAGAGGGTCTGTGCTTGGCCCTTTGCTGCCAACTGCTCAGTTTTGACTTAGCTCTAGTCATTTGTGACAACCAGCCTTGTTTCTTTACAAATCCTCGCATGTAACTTTGGTACCCTGTTGTTTCTTGTGAAAAATCTATTCTGTTGTCTTTGATGTAATAAAAAAATTCATGTAGTTTATGTAAAAGTACCTGACTCAGAAGGAAGCCAATTGTGTCTTGTGTTGGGACAATTCATAATGTAGTTCCTAGACCACGTTTGCAAATGGTTATTGTCACCAAATGTGTTCGGACATTGCTGTGCAGTTGTGGGGAAGGGGTGGGGGGCAAGGTGAAGTGAGAACACTGTTGTTTTTTTTTGTTTTGTTTTGTACCTTCTCCAAGACTGGGATGGTCTGGCTGACTTGCTCCAGATGCAATAAAAATATTGCAATGAAACACCTTTCTGTCTTCTTGGCATGGAGGGCGGTGGGCTTGGGGCAGGGTAGGGAGGACAGCAAGTGGTCCTGCAGTCTTGGAGGCTGAACTGAGACCACTAGAGGTTCTCCCTCCTGTGAGAGGGAATCAACACTTAACAAATCCTATCTAAACAAGACACAAACAAACTCAATACTAACTGAAAATGTTAAACCTGAGAGCCATTTCCTCCCCTTAACACCCATTCCTAATAAGTGCATTTTATTGGTTCTCATGCCCAGAAATAAGCTTTTTTCTCATTCTACTCTGGGGTAGGAGAAATGGACTTGTCCTCGTGTCCGTCTCTAAGGCACTTGATCCACATGCCTTGGCCAGGGAACGTCTATATCTTTTGTTCATTTCTCCCCTGCTGTGTCCTAAGTACAAGGCATGTTTAATCCCAAGATAGTCAAAATTACCTCCTTCCCACCCCTCTTTGGAAATCTGCACTAGGACATAGTGTTTCATGGGCATTTGGACAGCAGAGAAAATACAAGGTTGAATATCATCAGTTCCCTTATTGCCCCACCCCAGACCTACAAACCTGCCTATAACCACATCATTCCCCTCCTTTCTGTTCAGTTACAATAGGTAGCCCTCCAAACAATGCTATTCTTCATATCTATTTTGGATTTTATTTCCTCTCACCTCTGGAATCTTTTTACTCAGTTTTTCTAAGAGGGATCATCCCTATTTTATACTTAAAACGGCTGGGTACATAGCACTGGAGAGATGGTTGCTCTTCCAGAGGACCCAAGTTCAGTTCCCAGCACCCACACAGCAGCTCACAAACATCTGCAATTCCAGTTCCAGAGGATCTGACACCCTCTCTGGCTTCTACAATACTGCATGCATGTGGTGCATAGATATACAAGCAAGAAACACACCCATACATGTAAACTAATTTTACAAAACAAAAATGAGTGTCCTCATGCTACTCTGAAATTCTATTCATACCTTTCCCTTATCATTTTTCTTCACAGCAAGTGACCTCAATGTCTTATTTCCTCACCCGAAATTTCCCTATAGGTTATTACTACTCAAAACTGTGCCCTTTGAAGTGTTAACCATTTGTTTTCCTCATGAAAACTCATCCACTCCACTATAAGCCATTCACCTAGTTTTTTTCTGTCATGTTTCAGCTAGAGAGCTTTTCTAGTGTCCTCACCTTAGGACTCTTTATCTAAATTTTGCCTCCATCAGCAAATTTACCTACCATATCTAGACCAATACATTTCTCTTGCCCAGATCTCCATTGTAAGATTGAATGTAGCATGGAATGCAGGGTGTGGTGGTCTGAATGAGAATGGCCCCCATAGGCTCATGTCTGAATACCAGGTCTCCAGTTGATGGAACTGTTTTGGAAGGACAAGAAGGTGTGGGCTTTGAGGTTTCAAGACTCCTGCCATACCTGGTATTCCTTCTCTTTGCCTTCTGCTTGAAGTTTAAGATGTGAGCTCTCAGCTCTGCCTGCTGCCATGGTGGGGTTTGTTATTGTTAGGGTCTGTGTAGCTCTGGCTATCCTGGAGCTATGTAGACCAGGCTGGCCTGGAACTCCAGTGATCCTCCTGCTTCTGCCACCCAACTGCCGCCAGGATTAACAGTATGTACCACCATGCCTGGTGGGTCTAGGTTCTGATTAAAGATCTCATTCCCTATTTTAATTTTCTTTTGTACTGGTTGTGTCTACTCAGTGTTGTGAGTCTTTTGGGTTTCCTTTCTTATTTCATTCTGTATGTTCTCTGGGCGATCCTTATCTTACGTAGGTTTAATTATCATAATATCTTGTGAGAGTTCCTTGGTGTTGACAGGTTTGTGCACTAGTCCCTGGCTCATGTGAACCACTGCAACCTGTCTAGACTACAGCCAGAGACTAGAACAAACATGATACTACTTCTGAAGTTGCCTTTGAGAAACTCCTCACACACAGTAGTGTTCTAAAAGGGAGTACTACTGTACTTGAGTTGATGCCTTTGTTTTTACATCACAAGATGCTTGGTGGCTATGCGTCCTCCCATTCACTTCCAACCTTCTAGGACTGTTTCCAGAAAACTGCAAGTGCTTCCTTCCTCCCATCTACCCCCCTCATCTGTGCTATGGTGCTTCTGACAAGATCCTGACATGAGACAATCACCACCTCTTCAGCTATCTTGTGATCTTCCAGGCTATAGCCCGTGACCTGTTTTCAGTACCCAGTGCACTAGCCCAGCCTCTGCAGCTAATACATAACGGGAGTTACAGAACTATCAGAAGTGAATAGGGAAGGCATCCCATATGGCCCAGATATCTCTTGGAGCCACCAAGTCTTCCAGCCTTGACACATCAAGCCTGGTTCCCTGTCCTGTGATACTACTATAACTCTAATCACAGCACCTGGTGTACTTAACAGAAGTAAACCACATGTAACTCTAGCTGCTAGCATGATAGCTTTTATGTAGAAAGACTTCAGTTCATGTTGTATAGGAACCTGTCATTGTCAATCTAATTTTGGGTAGTCACGATTCGTCTTCCCCATGCAGAATGAAAAAGCTGCAAGCTGCAGTGGGCTGAAGTACTGACTTTGGTCTCCAAGTCTCTTCAGAGGAAGGCATTAGATCATGGGGCAGGGGCAGGTAGCTTAACCATCAGTTCAGGAATTTTGTAACTCTTCTGGCCTCGACACACCAAGCCTGGTTCCTCTTACCTACCCTTGGGTACCATGCATTTCCCCCTGTTTCTTCCCTGCCCCCTCCCCAACACTACCCACAAGTACAGTTCTAATCATTAAGGGTTACTTACTGGCTGCAATATTTACTAGCAGAAGTCCCAGCCCACAGCCGGAGTGGTCTGTCACTAAACAGGCAATGGCTCTCACCTCTGTTGTCTCAGCACTGCCACTATACCTCCTGTTCTGAAGCTCTTTCCTCTCTTGGATCTTGTGTGTTACTGACTGGACTCTGGACTGTTTTCACACCAGACAATTCGACCACTGAGCTTTACCTTCCAACCCCCTTCATGTTGCTGTGCCCAGGGGTGTCACTGTTGATAAAATGTAGCTCTCATTTCCATCTATTTTATTATCTTCTGGATACCCCATATATACCTCAAAGTGAATACATCCAAAGTCAAACTCATCACTTCCTTAAACTTTTTCTTGTTTACTGGTGAAGACACAAAGTTAGAAGATAAATACAGGTTCTAGAGTCAGAGACCTGAGTGCTAATCCCAGCTCTGCCCAAACTGTATTGCCCAGGGCAGAAAAGCTCACTTCCTTATCAAGAGATCGGGAATGTTAGAGGACACAAGTCCTCATTTAGTGCTCTATTACCTACAGAATCTCAGGGCTGGCCGCTGCTTTGTTCCTTGTGTACACTGACGGCCATACAGAAAGATGGTAAACCACAGTCTGTCTTTAAACTATCAAACCTTGTTCCACTGAGTTCTCTTGGGTTCCTGGAACATAGCAGGTATATTGTGTATACTACATTCTGGCCATTCTTTATTGAGCCACTCCCTACTCTCAGAAAAACTTACTATCCAGCACCCATTTATGTCTGAGCTCAGATATTTCATGATCTGAGAAATGAAGCTGGATTGGGTTCTCTCCCTGCAAGTAAGAACTTAGTCATTATAATCCCAGTAGCAAGAGGCCCCAAACCTAGAGTCCTGTGGATCAGGACCAACAGAAAGAAGCAAACCCAGGCCGAGATGGTTTCCAGGAGGGTGTATTACACAGGTGAGTGCAAGGAAAGCAAGCCCAACTGCTACGTTTGCTTTAGAAGCTCATCTGATGCCAGGGCCAAGTCTGGATGTTTTTGCTGGCCCCTAGGTTCTTGGTTTCTCCAGAGCAGGTTGGGCCCAGTTTCTGGGCTGAGGGGGTAGGCTCTGCATGGAATGTCCTGCCTCCTGTCGCCTGAGGCATCAGGAACTTCCATGATGCTCAGGACTGGCTCCTCTTTCTCCATTTGTTCACATTCAGACTCCCATAGCCAGTTTTGGCTGGGGACCTCATGAAGTGGATAGGTCAGCCCAGGGACACTAGGTGACTGTGGCTTCTCCTGCTCAGGAGACAGGTTCTTAGGAAGAGTTGGAGCTGTGGCTTCCAAATCTTGGGAGTTAGCTGGTTCTCCTGTCCTTGTTATCTTCTTGTTTAGGGATGCCCTGTCTGGACCTTCAATAAGGAATTTCCAGGACCATGTACCTGGCTTTCCAGAGGTGGAGGTGGCAGAGCAACTGGTAGGGGTAAGTTCTGAAGATCTGGGACAAAGTGCTGCTAGTGCCTGTGTGTGGAGGTGCTGGGCCTTCCAGCAGCCTTCAGAGGGGGTGGGGCTGGTGGGCCCAGACCTATTCAGGCTGGGGGCTTCCAAGGAACTGGTAGTTTCCTCAAAGGCTTGTGGCCTCCAGAGCCTCCTCTGGGAGAGCCCGGGAACTTCTATTCGGGGGGAACCTAGTGTGTCCCCTGTCAATAGGCTCGAGAGTACAGGAGCCTGGTTCTTTAGATCCCTGTGTAAGAGAGCGTCCTCATTCCTATCCTCTCCTGAACCTTTAGGGGGTAGATTCTTGCCTGCTTCTGGTTGGGGGACCAGTCTTGGCTCTTGTGTGGCCTGGCTGTTCTCAGGCTCCTCATCAGTGTCATCTTCTGAGGAGTCTACTTCCCGGATAGCTTCTTGTTTTTGCAGTGACTCTCGGCGTTCAGCTCGATCCTGCCGGAGGGTCCCAAGGGCCCGTGAAGGAGCAGGCTGCAGCACCCCTTTTCCTGGAAGTGGCCCTTTCCCAGATAGCACACTTCTGGTTCCAACTACCTCCAGAGGGCTGGCTTCCCTGGGTGGCAGCTCCTTCTTCAGCTCACCATGGGGCAGGTCAAGACTATGCTTGCGGGAAGGGGCTAACTTCTTCTCAGAAGCTGCCAGTGCAGCTGCCAGCTTCTCAGCAGACTGCACCCTTTTAAGCAGTGGAGAGCGGGGTGGCTCTGCACTCTTGGGTCGTGAGAGCTGCCTACCTAG